ACACATACGCACAATTCCATATATCCATATATACATGCAGCATTTTACATATAGTTTTAGAGCTTCTGAGGACCTAAAGGTTCATCTTTTAAACTTAAACTCAGTTCAAATATCTCTGACGCTTTCAGGGTGAATTAGGCTGGATGAATCACCCACTTTATGTTTTCATGGCACTTAATTTATATCCCATCTTTGTTACTGTAATGATTGCATTACTCCCTTCTGTATGAAGTAGTGTCTTCTCTCTTTTGCTTTCCCTTGATTATCAAGTACATATCACAAAACTGAGTCAATGTACTTTGTATTTAGAAATTGATTAAAAATTGAATGAATTAGTTTGGACTAGAAAATATCATGGCAATAAGGGCCATTTCTGTTTTTACTGGCTACTGAAAGCCTAGCTTCTAACTCAATGCCTGACACCTAGAGGGGATTTTGTCAATTTTTATTGCACAAATATTGCGTGACATAGTTCTGCTCACTGAAAGTGACTGGTGTATAAAACTCTTATGAGCCTTTTTGAACAAGTGTGGTGTATTTTATAAAAACTTAATTTTGGGAGCAAAAATGTCAGTAGATATTTTGACTCTTATATCCTCGTATCTCAGCTTAACTCTTTTTATCCTTTCTTCTACTTTCCCCACTCATCCTACAACTCACCCATCCCATATCTTTATAAGTCTGTATATTCACCATCTTATTATCATTTGCATTCCATGGGAGCTTGCAGCTCCACGTATTATGTCTTTGCTTCTCTGGTTCAGTTTATAATTTTGATCATGCAACACCGACATATTGAGCATTTACCATGTGTCCAGCATTGAGCAGTTGCTGGCTGTGCAGATGAAGTGCTAATCTGCCTGCCCCCCACTTTATTCCACAGAAGTAAATTTTCTGAGAAAGAGATAAGATAAATGAAAAGAGATGATTATGTTGAAGTTAGTTAAGTGCTAACATGGAGAGCATAATGCTATAAGAGTAAAAAAGGTATGTTGTTTGTACTTTTTTCTGTCCTTGGAGGGTACCTCTCCATGTCTCCTCTCTTCCTGATTGATTTAATAATCTACCTGTCCTTTAAGATCCAGTTCAGATCTTCTTTTTCCATGCAGATTTTCTAAATGTTTTCTGTTCAGTCTTCTTCCTCCACTTCCCCATCCCAGTATGCCTTTCATAGTATTTGTTGCAGTCTTCCACTAGACTGCATATCTGCATCTGTAGGTTAAGAACTGTGTCTTTTCCATCATTGTTCCTCAACAGAGTTCTTTGAAAACTGTAGGCTTATTGAATGGAAACATTTGTTTTTATATAGTCATGCCATCTGCCCACCCACACCCCATACCTCACACATGATTTATTTCCTCTTAAGGATCTCAAAGTCATTTCTTGTGCTTATCTTTACCTATATACTGCTGTAGGTTGCCAAGGGTACCATTATGTGGTTAAAGAGTTGCTCTCCTATTTAACTTCTCTCTTTCAAATGCAGAATGAGGAACTGATGGCTCAACTCAGTGAATGACTTGTCTTCTAGTCAGATGTCTGCTTCCTAGTGGAATCAACATGTTGTTAACCTATTTCTTATATTTGGAAATGTATTTTTATTTTTTGAGTATTAAGATCTCTGTTCATAACTTTTTTTTTTTCTGGATTCCAAGTGAATGATTTTGAAATCACCAAAAATATGAAGGATTTATTTTCAGGAATAATTCATTATGTTCAAAAATTCCCTTTATGTCTTAGGTCCATGAAGGGCCTCGAGAAGCAGATGCTTATAAAAAGCAGAGCTCATCAGATACTACAGGCTAAAGTTAATGGGTGTTTTTAGTTCAACAATGCCCTGAAGCTATCCCCACTACATACATAAAAACCTATAATGTATATAATATTTTATTCATTTCCTCTTCTGACATGTTATAGGTCTAATAGTTTTTTATTGTCTTTGTTGTTAATTTAATTTTGAATGATCAGATTTTTCTGAATGGTAGATTAGACTCCAAAAGTTTTCCACTCCTTTGTATGGAATGTTCCTCAATTTGAAATATTTTTCCAATCAAATCAGCACCAAGAAAACCTGTCCTTGGCTTACATTTTTATATTATCTTATGGAAAGAAGAAAAAATCCCAGAGAACTTGACTTACAATACTGATACATAGAACCAATGATAGTCAGGCATATTCAGCCCAAATTTCAAGTTCATTCTCAAGAGTTTGGAATAAGGTGAAGAGAAAGAGGACTCTAGCAAGAGATCAATGCACACTTGTTTTGTAACATTTTCCTTGCAATTTAGATGTGTCAGATTCCATTTCTCTGTTAATGAGAAATCCATGAGGCCTGACTCTTGTTCTATTCAGTGCTGTATACTCAGAACCTGGAAAAGTGCCTGGCATGCAGCTTATTGATTAATATTCAAGGGTGAAGGAATGAATGAGAAGACTTTGATTCTGAAGCATTTCTTTATAATTGTAGCACATACTATATCTCCTAAAACAATATGTTTTAAATAGTTTTTACATAAATGATATTTCGTAAGTTAAAAAAAATTTGTGTTTTTGTTTTACTGATTTGAAAAATATGAAATATTTTTAATATTTTGACTGTTGGATTTTCTTTTATTAGAGTATAATTGCTTTACAGTATTGTGTTATAGTTTCTGCTATTGACATATATATGTGTGTGTATATATATATATATTTCAATGTGTAAAAACTATTTTTTGACATTTTTTTAAGGAGTACTGTTGACAAGTTTAGTATTAATAGCTAACTTCTCATGCCAAAAACTATGTTTTTCTAGGTTACCACTAATTGTAAGAATTAAGCTCATGTAAGAAACACATCATGCTATTAATACTGGGACTGGTCCCAGGTGGGTCAAAACCACAGTGGGTGGGGAGATAGTGTCTGGTGGGATTAAGAGCAAATCCCTCAAAACATGTAGATCTAGGTTTAAATTCCAGCTCTGACACTGCCTGGCTCTATGATAATGGCAATCACTTAACCTTTATAGGCCTTTGTATTTTCATCTCTAAAATGGGCATAAGAACATTCTAGACTTGCTAAGTTTGGAATAAGGATACAATGATGCAGTACATCTAAGCACAGTTCAGTTCCGTTCAGTTGTTCAGTCATGTCTGACTCTTTGCGACCCCATGGACTGCAGAATGCCAGGCCTTCCTGTCTATCACCAACTCCCAGAGTTTACTCAGATTCCTGTCCACTGAGCTGGTGATGCCATCCAATCATCTCATCCTCTGTCATCCTCTTCTCCTCCTACCTTCAATCTTTCCCAGCATCTGGGTCTTTTCAAATGAGTCAATTCTTTGCATCAGGTGGCCAAATTATTGGAGTTTCAGCTTCCGCATCAGTCCTTCCAATGCACAGGTCTTAGTATAATTTTTTTCAGCCTCAACTAATGGATGAAGATTAGTGTTCATTCTCCATTAAGAAGCTAGTGAAAGACCTTTACTCAGCTGTCTAAAAAAAATGGGGTTTAGCTCTGCACTGTGTTATCTAGAATATCTCTTTATCTATCTCATTGTTTTCCACCTGTAAAACTAAGGCATATTTAATCTGATTTGTCTACTTCACATGGACTTAAGAACAGCTAAGTTAACACATGAAAGAGGAAATAACTTTGAACTGTTTAACCAAAAGTTTCTAGAAAAATTAAATAGTTCTATAGATAGTATAAACTCAATTTAAACCAAATATGACATAAATTTATTATAAGAATACAGGGTTTTGTTGCCTTATAGTTTGTGATAACTTTAGAGTGTTGAAATACTGTGCTGAGGTTACAATTGTCTAGAGACACTACTTATCAAAACAGGATAAATTGTATTCATATTCAGGAAGATAACTGAGTATATGTCATCTTCCTTTTGATGATCATCACCATGAATCAGAAGTTTAGCACTGTTCCTAAAAGATGTTATTTCTTGTGACAGAGAATTACAAAATGTGCCACTTAGTGTAACTGTCATATTTCAAAACATATGCTCCAGGAATTGAAGTAAGAAAACCTTGAAGATACAAGAATTAAAGTTAAATGTATGAACATAGGAAATTGAAAGTACAAGCTGGTAATAGACTCTGAGACTTTTAAAGATCTGGAGTACCTTAAGGATGCCCAGTTCTTTTTGTCATAAATAAAGTATTGATTTTTAAAAGAAAAACACGTTTTTCTAAAAGTAAATGTTCAATGCATATTTTTGTCACATACAATGTATTGCTTCTTTCCTTTAAAGGAAAACAGTAAAACAATACAGCCAATTAGTGGGAATGAGAGATCCAAAACAGGATTCTAGTTATGTTGAATGAGATATTTCAACATCAAAATTTTAAAAAGCAACTGAGTTATGTGAAAATATCAATTAGAGTACAAATAAACTCTTAACTTTTGCTAAGACTCATAAAATATATTTTACTTTTAAATTCTGGACTCTATACTATTCAAATTAAGAAATAGGATAAACAGAAGAAAAACAAAGAAGTTTGGAAATAACTGATCTGGTGATTCAACAGAATGATCAAGAATGCCAAAACCAGACATCTAAAGCAGAGCCTAGCTTGTCATCATGACTGTACTCTGAGTTAACATAATCAGTGAAGAAATATTGAAAAATAATTTTTTTTAAGTAGCAGTATATGCATTTGCTTAAGCTTCCTTAAACATTTTTCTTTTTAAACTTTGACCTTGCTTTACTATTAACTTGAAATTCCCAGAATTTGAATACTAGGTCTTGAGACAGGAACCTTGTGCTTTTGAATTCATATTTCAGTTTAAGAGTATTAATTTTCCTTTTATAGAAAGGGTAATAAAAATTACTGCATTCTTTCTTAGCAGAAAATCATCAAATATAGGACCAAAATAATTTTGTAAAAAGTGTAGCCAGCATAGATATGTCTGTGTTCTGTGCAAAGTTAGATGTGCATATATGTGTTTGTATATTTTCTATGCATGTATCTTAATAGTAAACATATTTTACTTTACTTCTTCTTAGGGCTGTCGTAAAATACATAACTTTAATAATGTACTACCTGAAGGCATGAACTTGAGCTTTATCATAGCCATGGTTTCTAATAATGGAGATTACACATGTGTGGTCACATATCCAGAAAATGGACGTACCTTCACTCTCACCAGAACTCAGACTGTAAAGGTGGTAGGTAAGCATGATTTGTATTAAGTGCACACAGCAAAGTGCAATAATTTTGTTCAGGCTCTTAATATTTTGTTATAAAGAAGTATGTAAATTCTGAAAGAAAAGTAGCTTAGCTTTTATGTTTACTGTACTATTGCAAGGTCTCAGCAACTCCACATGCATAGCAGGCATATAACAACTATTATTCTACTGAATGAATATGTGGATGAATGAAGTAAAGACAGCTTGGGGAGTGAAAAGAGTGCCAGACTTATCTGTTCTCAAATTATACCATTGCCATTTATTAGCACTATGACTTTCCTGTACTCTGGGACTACAACAGCCTAATATTTGGTAGAGCTCAGAATATTAAAAATAATATACACAATATGCTAGTGCTGTATGTATTGTCAGTTTCAGGCAAACAGTAGAAGCTTAATGACTAATGGTTAATATTATAAAAAGAAAAAACACGCAGTTTTTTACTTGAATTAAGTAAACTATGAATTTTGGGGGTACTAGAACTTTTGTAGCTAGTGCTGAAGATATTTGTTAGCAGTGTTCAACCATTGCTTTCTTTGTGGATGAGAAACTAGAGAAATGGGAAAGACAGTGTACAAACAAAGTCAACAGGCTCCTAGCAGACCTAGAAATCAGTATAACCAGTCTCAGGATAGATAACATTGAGAGGAGAGCCCTAAATATAATACTACTATGCTCACTGTAGGCTTCACTGGTGGCTCAGAGGGCAAAGAATCTGCCTGCAATGCAGGAGACCTGGAATTGATCCCTTTAGGTCTGGAAGATCTCCTGGAGGAGGGCATGGCAACCCACTCCAGTATTCTTAACCGGAGAGTCCCCATGGACAGAAGAACCTGGGGGCTACAGTCCATGGGGTCTCAAAGAGTCAGACATGACTGAGCGACCAAGCACAGCATACCCACTGTATCATTAATAAAAATAACACCATATCAGAGTGAGGTTTTTCATACCCTATATTTTAATAGATGGAACCATTGAGGCCCAACAACAGAAACTAACCCGCTTAGAGAAGCCCCCTGTGTTAGTGGAGAAGTAATTCTAAATCCCAGGCTTCTGCCTTTTTTGATCAGGACTTTCTGTATAGTCTGACACCAAGTTCAGCATAATGTATGAAAGGGCTTTAACATAGTGCAGATAAAATTCAAATCAAATAATTTTGTAATCACGCCTCCTTTTTCTGTACTTACCTTTGAAGTACTACTGAGTTGGGGACTAATACAGGAGAAAAATAAGACTGAATTTAATATCATAAAAAGACTGCTTAATGTTATAAAAAGCAGCAGTCCTACAAATGAACATTCAACTGATAACTAGATAACAGGTAGACTTCCGTGCTGACCTCACAATTGTGATTTTGAATTTTCCATTTGTTCATTCATTAATGAATGCTTACTTATTTAACCAATTTCCAAGCTAGACACTCAGAGCATATTGAAGAGAAATATGTAGAAAAGAAACAATTGAGGAAGACTTGAAATCGATTAATTGCTAAGTAGTATGAGAAAGAAATCTAGCTCATATAGGCTTTGGAAAGCAAAAACACTAGATAAAATAGTTCTGTCTGAAACATGAAGGATACTTAATGTATTGTTTTCCCTTTGTTTGCTTGTTTTAAGTGAAAGAAGTGTTGTAATTGATTGTACATGGAACTGTGGGTCCTTTCAAGAATGGACAAATTGAGCCAGGAAGTTAGGCAATCCTCACAGAAGAGCAGATTTTTGAAATAGGTTATGTGAAATTAAAGGTCCATGATTTGACATCATCTCCCTTGGTTCCTTCCTCTCTCCCACAGGCTCCCCAAATGATGCAATGCCTCCCCACATCTATTCACCTGATGATCATGTGGTCTACGAGAAAGAACCAGGTAATTACAGATGTGCCTCTGAATATCAGTTAGATTCTCTTAATTACAATGACTAAAATGTCACTTAAGTTAATGCAAGAGCATAGAGAGCTGTTGTAGAGAAACACATGAATTGAAAGAGAAGTGTTATCAGAAACCAAATCAGCTCTGGGGATGAGCTCCTTTTTTGATCTCTTGGGCAGCTCAGAGATATTCTCTGCTTCTCTCAGGGCAGATGCTCCCTTCTCCCTCTGTGAGCAGTTTTCCTCTCCTGATTAGTGACTTCTGTTTGATGCAGACTTTAGCCTGTGCAGGGTTCTGGTTTACCAAGACTTCAACATGAGCAAAAGACTTCCTTAAACTTCTGCCCCACTACAAAGGAGTGGGGAGTGGAACTGGAGGCAGAACTGGGAATTCAACAGATAACAAGAAAACTAGCAGTACCCCTTGATTTGAACACTGTCAAATGTTTACACTGGCTATCTTGGTCTCCTTTTAGTTTTCATATTTTTTCAATCAACACAAAAATTATTTGGAACTGACCAGTTAAGGTATAATATGTTATTCTTCTGATACAAAGCCTCTCAAGTTAACTTGAAAACCATAGACAAATTTAACATCCTCTATATCATGTCCTTCCCAATATATGGGCTTCCCTGGTGACTCAGAGGTTAAAGCATCTGCCTCCAATGTGGGAGACCCGGGTTCGATCCCTGGGTTGGGAAGATCCCCTGGAGAAGGAAATGGTAACCCACTTCAGTATTCTTGCCTGGAGAATCCCATGGATGGAGGATCCTGGTGGGCTACAGTCCACAGGGTCACAAAGAGTTGGACACGACTGAGCGACTTCACTATATCATATCCTTCCCAATATATTCAATTCCAACCCAATGAAAGATAGAAAATTTGTTTAAAATGTACCAAAGATAATAGAAGCAGTGTTCAATCCAGATGGAGGACAACAATCCCCTCCAATTAAGGTACGGTTTCACATAGTGATCTGCCTTGTGAAAAAAACAAGACCACACTGAGGGAGTCTGCCAATCCTGGATGGACCAGATTTTCTAAACTCAGTATATTAATATGAACATTCTTTCTGGCATCAGGGTAAACCCATATTAATCATCTAAATGCCTTTCCTCTGTCTGTCATATTATGGTTACAAAAGCATGCCTGAATCCGTGGTCACTTTATCTTTCTACATATTGTTATAGGCAACTGTCTAGAGAATGGCATAAGAACCTTGCATTGGAAGAGAGGCTAGAGTATGACCACTCAGTGAGACAAACCTGAGTTCAAATTGGGATGACAATATAATTTATCATCTCAACCTGGACACCTTTTGAGAATGAAAGTAGTCGATGTTAATAACTAACTAGGAAAGCAAGCATAAAACAGAACTGTTCTGGGGAAATAAAAGCAGAAGGTCAGTCTGGGTGAAATCCTGGTCTGCCACTTATTTGCAATTTGACCTTGGGATAGCATTTATGCTTCAACTTTTGCATCTGTAAAACATTAACTTAAAAAATAATTCATAATATCTTGTTAAAATTAAGTGCATCTATTGATAAGTAGCCAAAACATTTAGCACAGGGAATCATTCAAAATCCTCAGTGAGTCTGCTGCTGTTACAATTATTATTACCATGTTTTGCCTAGAGATTCCCCCTGTCTTCACCATGTTCCATCTCAGAAGGGTAACATAGCATTTCTATTTGTAAGTTGTCTTTAAGCTCATTGACTGAACCGTGATAACTTGAATATTTCAAGATGCAGCCTGCCTGGTCAGTCCTCTCAGCGACGGCGTCGCCCCATCTTCTCTGAGCCAAGGACCAAATATCTGGATAACCATTCCTCAATCTCTCATTGTTGGTGAGGGAACTAACAAAGGAGAAGAGTAGTCCATGGAGGTTTAGGGCTAAAAAAAGAAACATTATCAGAGCCTTTTTGAACAAATACTGTCATTTTAGGACTTATACAGGCTCTATTAAAAGATGGGCATTCTAATAATTTTACATAAAAAGCTGCTGTCCTTTTCCTGGTTTGTTTGTTTTGCAATGAAGTATGGTACATTATCTTTTAGTCCACTTGAAAATTAGTCAGAAGTAAGCTTGCAGGCACATAAAACTTTTATAAATTCTGATTAATCACAAAATACAACCAATATAACCATGTGATAGTTACAAACTGATGAGTTAACTTTTTTTTTTTTTTAGGAGAAGAGCTACTCATTCCCTGTAAAGTCTATTTTAGTTACCTGAAGGACTCTCGCAATGAGATTTGGTGGACCATTGATGGGAAAAAGCCAGAGGACACCACTATTGACGTATCTATTAATGAAAGGTATCATTGACACTGACAAGGGGGTGACTAACCCTTGTTCCTCAACCTAATGCCTTCTGGTTTTTGCTGGTTGATGAAAATTCTAATTTTTGCCAAAAATCAGCCTAATTTTCAAGTCTTTAGTATCTATATCCCAAAACAGGATTCTCGGACTTGTAATCCAAGCCCCAGATACTACCTGATGATTATATCTTTATGATACCCACTTGAAAGCAGTTGGAATGAATATCCTATATGAATGAAAAGGGCAGGATTTAGAGTTGGAGACAGATGAAAGCTTGCCAGCATGGCCCTATTCTATTTCTCAAGTCTGGAATCTGGGCCTATGTTTTTGTGCCTCAGATAGTTGTGTTAGTTCTTATCTCACAGTAAGCATATATTTCCTATCTCCTTCCTCTCCTTTCTTAATTTTCATAGCATATATATCACATTTATAAGTGATAATTTTTAATACTGACTAAAAACATTAATGTTCTTTAAATTTTATTTTTTAAGTGGATGAGGTGGTAATATAACTCACTTTTAAAATAACAAGCTGGGTCATGACATAAATAAACATGACATTTTTTGAAGTAGCTTGATTTGGCAAGGAAGACTGCAACAATAAATAAAAATGAGCAGCTAACTGCATGACAAAGTAGTTCTGAAAACTTACACCTTATCATCTATGTGCTGATAGATCTTAGGTTACTTGAACTTCAAGGAGTTAAAAGATATTTATTCCCTAGTAGTAAACTCAGACTTTATACAGAAATTATAAAGTATCATCGGGTAACATGCAAGATACTTAGTTCCTAACTGAGTAGATTTTACAAGTATAACAATGATACAACAGAGATGTTAGTATAATGTGATAAATGCAGTAAAAGGGAAGTATTGAATATTAGGAAAGATTTAGTTGAAAGTTCCAGTCAGCTTTAGGGAGTTAGGTAATACTTCTCAGATGATACATGGCCTATATAAAGATTTGAAGGATAAGTAGAAATACACTGGAAAAAGAAATAAAAGCATGTTCCTGGTAAAAAGAAAAAAGAACATCATTTTTTTTTTTAACATCATACACAAAGGTGTAGAGGTTCAAGGAACAGAACATATTTAATGATACAGAAGGAGTTTCCTGAAATTGGAGCAGTTTTTGCTAAAGGAATTGATGAAAGATGTGACTGAATGCACAGAAGGAGAGTTATTGACCATTTCAGGAATTCTGAACATTGTGCTTCCAACCCTTATAAAAATACGGGATGAATAGTAATGACAGTCATACTGTTCCTCCTTGCTGCTATTGAAACACAAGTCACTGTTCATAGTTCAGCAGTGCAGTTCAACTTAGGTTAACTCCATCACAGCTCTTAACCAAGTTTTCATGACTGACAGTAAACCTCATAAGAACCTGGATGTCAGTCAACTGTAAGAGAGAGAATTTTTATTTATTTTTTTCCTTTTGAGCACAGTAGTTCAGAGAGATCTTCAGTCTTGATCTTAGACCCAAAGCGCTTGATCTCTGACTTGCAGAGAATTGGACATACTTGTTTTCACAAAGTTTACTTGCTCTGAGAAGTTTTTACTTTCTTTAGGATATAACCAAGAGGTTTCAGAATTGTGACCAAAATGTTCTATCTGTGTGCAAAATCCAGGTTTTGGGAATCCCTGAAATGCATCAACTATTACTGTGAGATAATAATAATAGCTTATATGAATATTTATTAAGCTTTGTTCTAATTGATTCCCAGGTGGTGCTAGTGGTAAAGAACCTACCTCCCAGTGCAGGAGACATAAGAGACATGGGTTCAATCCCTGGGTCGGGAAGATCCTGGAGAAGGGAATGGCAACCCACTCCAGCATTCTTGCCTGGAGAATCCCATGGACAGAGGAGCCTGGCGGGCTAAAGTCCATAGGGTTGCAAAGAATCAGACATGACTGAGGTGACCTAGAATGCACGCATGCATTGTTCTAATACTTATGAATTAACATACTCAATCCTCAGAATTCTTGAGTAAGTTAATACATGCAATGCACTATGTAGGTATTGTCAGTTTCCTCCTTTTCAAAGGAGGAACTAAGACATGGAAAGATTACTTACCATGCTCAAAGTACATAACCAGTAAATGCAAAACCTCAGTCAAAATTCAAAGGTGTTAGGCCTCAGAAGCCTCTCACTGAATCAATGCAGCATCCTGCCTCATATACTTGAGGAAAGGAGACCCTTCACTTTGCAGAGTGATCTGTAGTATGATGCTAATGCTGGGTGTTGAATCTAGATATTGGGACTGTGTGTAGTATAGATGGTAAAAAAGGTTTTAGAATCCAGAGATTAGTCTCCTTTTTTATCTTCAGGATCATGAGCAACACAGCTTATTGACATTCTGCCTGTGCTCACCTGGGAGATCTATGATTGTCTACTTGTCTGATTTACATACAGCCTTTGGCCCTTGAATCTCACTAATGCTTTAATTTTCTTTCTCCTATTCCTAGTGTAATTCTGAAAGTAACAGAAGACGAGACAAGAACTCAGCTTTTGAGCATCAAGAAAGTTACTGCTGAGGATCTGAAGCGCAACTATGTCTGTCATGCCAGAAATGCCAGAGGGGAGGTTGACAGACCAGCCAATGTGAAACAGAAAGGTAATGGATGCACTCAGCAGATGAATGTGTGAAGTCCAAATGCAACCCTCCCGTGAATAAAGAAAAAGGAGAAATTGACAAGAGCTCTATCACTTAGCACATTCTGACACGTAGTGATAAATGAAACTTGATGAAAAATCTTGGTGTTTCCATTTATATAATGATACTGAAAATATGTCTTATGGTTTTAGTATTTAATGCCCATATGTGACTTAAAAATTTCATATGATTATGATAATGAGGCACAGCATCATATCTATAAAGGAAAATGAAAACTAAAGAATATTTCCTGTTCTCAGAGATATAATAAAACTGGTAGAACCACATATCATTGGTGAATTGTAAAGACCATTTTAGAAATCATTGATGGCAGAGTTCAGAAGTCGTAAATGCTGGTCATACCACATGACTTAATACTTTTGGAATTTTCCTTGAACAAGTAACTTAACAGAAAGAGAATTATGTCCCTATCGATATTCTTAGAAGCATTATCTATAATAATGAAACATTATAAATAGCAATTATCTAATTGCATACAAATAGTTAAATAAGATATAAAATATCCTCAAAAATATAATTTAAAAATGATAATTTTAAATACTCTGTGCCAATATTTCAAGCAGGTTTTCCATACATCACTAGCCACAATTGCTAAAATGAAAATTAATAAAACTATTACTTAAAGTGATGTGAAATGATTTCTATGTTGATATTACTATATTTTCCTACAATAAATAAAAATTATAAAGCTTTCTTGTGTGAGCTGTTGCTCCTGAAACATATTGTGTCTAAGATTTTCTTTGGGTCTCTCACCTAACAAAGAACCCTAGATAATGAATCCTTTCATGAATGTTTTTCAGTGATCTAGATAATAATAAGGATGATTCATCACACATGAAGTCAACCCATTCAGAATCATTTTGGACCTATGTCAGAGTCAGAGCCTTTAATATATACACAAAAAAATTAAAAATGTTAATTTAAAACTACTGTATTTTGCAATAGGATTTAAACCTCTTTTAAAACTGATTAAAAAAAAAACAGGCTTCACTTTAGCATTTTATTACAACTTAATAAGTAAAGAGCAAAAGCCTGAAATATATGCCTCTTAAGGCGATTTAGTGGATGGGTTCTGAATAGTTAATTGCTTCTGGTCCTCAGAAGGCAGTGTAAAAAGAGAAGACTGAACTGCGTGTTGTAAGACAATGTTTCCCAAAGTAAGTTCCTAAGAATACTACTCAGCCTCTTCATAGTACTGCAATTCATTATTTGTACTCTAGACACAGATGGTCTATGTTGGAATACTGTCCAATTCTGTGACCTTGGAAACGTCACTTAACCTCTCTGAGCTTCAGTTTCTATTTAAAGTAGGCAAAATATTAATAATAGCACTCCTTCACAAAGTTGTTTTAAAGTATTTAGCATGGTTACTGGCATATAAACATATATAAATATTAAATGCTCAATGAATGTTAGATCTTATTATTACTTTCACAAGATTTTTGTAGGTATTATTTGACAAAGGCTCTTATACTCAAGTATAATTAAGGTCTGTGATAAGCGAAATCGATCAAGTTACTTTAGTTCAGAGCCTCATGGTTCTTTCATATGTCAATATTTGATATGAATATCAAATTGGAATGTAGTAGAGTTGAAATGTAGTAGGTAGAATTGATTCAAATTGACTTGATTCCAGATTCTTTAGGTATGGAACATTTTTGTGGGTTTCATCTTCTAAGGCATGTGTTTTGGGAAACAATTATCGAGGAAAACATAAATTAATAACTTAGTGTCAGATGGATAAAATCAAAACAATCAACTGAAATCATGTTGAATCCAGGAGTGATATGGAAGTGTGTCCACCAGAGCTGCTTTGAGTAACTTCTTTCACAGAAGGCCGTGTTCCCAGTGGTTTAATATGAATGGCTTTAGGAATATGGAGTTACTAGTGCATCTACTGGAGAAGGCAATGGCAGCCCACTCCAGTACTCTTGCCTGGAAAATCCCATGGACAGAGGAGCCTGGTGGGCTGCAGTCTATGGGGTGGAGAAGCGTCAGACATGACTGAGTGACTTCACCTTCACTTTCATGCACTGGAGAAGGAAATAGCAACCCACTCCAGTGCTCTTGCCTGGAGAATCCCAGGGACAGCAGAGCCTAGTGGGCTGCTGTCTATGGGGTTGCACAGAGTCTGACATGACTGACGTGATTTAACAGCAGCAGCAGCAGCGTGTCTACTAGACCAGATGATCTCTGCTGAAATTATATTAGTATTACATATAACATGGTTGGTTCTCTGTGCACTTAGTAGTACCAGAAGAGCTGTGTGTTTCTTCTGTGGACTCTATTCTGGGCTGGCTAATGCTGAGATTCATAGGTGATATCTGTGTTCTTTTTATATACTATATGTAGGGGTCCTACTCTGAATTCCTTGACAAAGAAGTCCATTTAATAGTTTCTTCTATTATAGTTGGTACTTTTCTAAACCCTATATTAACAATGTTTCATTTATGAGGACTTTTGGTAAAGTGTCTGCCTACAGTGCAGGAGACCTGGGTTCAATCCCTGGGTTGGGAAGATCTCCTGGAGAAGGAAATGGCAACCCACTCCAGTATTCTTGCCTGGGAAATCCCATGGATGGAGGAACCTGGTAGGTTACAGTCCATGGGGTTGCAAAGAGTCAGACATGACTGAGCGACTTCACTCTATACTTAGGCTTATGACCATGTCTTTTTTTCCTCCATACAGAAACCACATTGAAAGATCTCACTTTTTCTTTTTTTGTGAATTGATTTTACAACTTGGCCAAAAAAAGGACTCTCTTAATGTTAGTCTATTTCTGAATTCCCTAGTGTGTTCTATTAATCTGTTTGTCTGTCTTTAGTCCAATACTACTTAGTCTTGACCGACAGCTTTAAAGTCATGAAATCATATGCTCATATACTTTATGTCCTTTCCTCCATATTTTCTTTTCCAAGATGGATTCAGGGACCATATATTTTTTCATGTAGATTTTACTATCAGCTTATCTATGTCTACATTAAAGGCTCCTGCAATTTGATTGGAATTGCAATTTAATTTATAAATAGATTCAATGGGAATTAAAATTTTAGCAATATTGAGTTTTTAAATTCATTAACATGATATCTCAGTTTATTTAGCACTAATTGAATATTCTCAGCAATGCTTGTCTTTCTTTTTTGGTTTCAAGTCTTTCACACATATTGTTAAATTTATCTCTATTATGTTGTTGATGCTATTATATATAATATTTAAATTTTTTCATTTTCAAATTTCACATTTGTGAAAAAAAAACATGGAATTAATTTTTATGGTCCTTTGACTTTTCCAAACTCACTAATTAAATAGGGTTTATGTTTGGTTTATTTATTTATTTATTTTTTGGTGTCTTAGCATTTTCTATACACTTGATCATGATGTGCATGCTAAGTCGCTTTAGTCATGTCTGATTCTTCGCAACTCCATGGACTGTAGCCTTCCAGGCTTCTCTGTCCCTGGGATTTTCCATGCAAGAATACTGGAGTGGGCTGCCATGCCCTCCTCCAGGGGCTCTTCTTGACCCAGGGATGGAACCCATGTCTCTTTTGTTTCCTGTATTGTCAAGAAGTTCTTTCCACTAGTGCCACCTGGAAAGGCCACAAATAAACGGACTTTTACTGCTTTTCCAAACTTCCTACTTTTGGTTTCTTTTTCCTGACTGTTTCACTCTTTTGGACCTCCAGTAGCATGATCAGAAAAAAATTGAGAACAGCCATGTTTGCATTGCTTTCTATCTTAGATGGCAAACATTCAGTTTTCATAATAAGTGTGATGCTACTTGCAAGTTTTTGTAGACGACCTTCATCTACATGAAGTATTAAGCTTATATTTTTAATTTGCTGAGAGTTTTGTTTTGTTATATTTTTATAATGAATGTATCTTGAAATTTTTCAGACTTTTATCCATTGAGATGATTATATTATTTTACTCTTTTATTCTATTAATATTATACTTTACATTGACTGATTTCAAAATGTTGATATAATCTTTCATTTCTGAGATAAACCCCAACATCATCAGAATTTATTACCCTTTTTATATAGCTGTATTTGATTTGATAATATCTTAGAAGATTTCTGTTAGGGAATTTGCTCATATATTTGTTCATGAGTGATATTGGTCTGAGATTTTCTTTCCTTGCAATGACATGACTGGTAACAAAGTCATGCTGATCTTATAATATGAATTTGATGATGACCCCTCCTTTGCTATTATCTGAAAGCTTATGTATAAAATTTATATTATGTCTTAGTCGAATATTTAAAAGGGTTACCCATGAAACTATCTGGGCCTGGCATTTTCTTCATGGGAAAGCTTTTAATTATGACTTCAGTTTCTTTAGTAGCTATTTGGATATTCTGTTTCTTCATGTGTCAGTTTGGGGAATTTGTCTCCTCAAATAATTTTTCATGCTTTATCTACATTGTCACATTTTTGGCATAAAAAGTTGTTACATCATTTTGTTATTTTTTTAATGCATGCAGGATTTATAGTGATTCTCCCTCCGTCATTCCTGATAGTAGCAATTTATATTTTCATCCAATCTGTTTATCAATCAAGAAAGAGGTTTTCCAGTTTTACTGACATTTTTCAATGAACAAAAGTGTTTTCATTTATTTTTCTCTGTTTTGTATTTTATTCATTTTACTCTGTATTTTTCTTTTTGCTTGTTTTACATTTAATATGTTCTTTTCTATCATCTGAAGTTGAAAGCTACATCACTGATTTTTAAATAATTCTTTTTTTCCTGTATAAGCACTGAGCTATAAACTTCTCTCATTAGACTACTTTAGGTTAAACAAGCAAATGATGAAATGTTGAAGTTTCATTACCATTCAGTTCAAATTATTTTCTAATTTTCTATAATTATTTTTTGACCCATGATTTATTTAGAAATGTGTTACTTAATTTATACATGTTTGGGAATTTTCCAGATAACA